GCAACGACGACCAGAGATAGCAAAAGAAAATTTTAAAAAGCTTCTCCCGCGGAATATGTTTTGGGCATGACTGTATAAAACTTTGAAAAGTCTCAACTGCGGGATATTTTCAGGAAACGACTCATGTAAAAGCTCTTACCGGTGGAATGTGAAATTCTGTGTTAGATGAGTGTGAAAGTGCAGTTAAGCCCAGGACCAGTATCTATAAAAAATATTAATGATATACATCAGTCACGTCCAAAGTATATCCTCCAAGCAAAATTTTTCATAGCTTTTCATGGATTTTATATGGACGCGTATAGAACAAAAGCTCTTTGTGGTCATTGATGGTTTCTACTTAAGTTATTGAAGAAAAACTGGATATTTCCATCAAGGAAGCCAATAAATGAGAATAAGACTCATTCCCCTTTTGCGGGTGGTGTTATGAACGTCCCATTACCCTGTTAGGCTGGAGTAAAAAGGGCTATTACGAGCGGTAGTATCGCGATACGAACGATATTTTTAAAATTACGGTATGTGCATTGGGGTAATCTTAAAAAATCCACATCATAATTTTATATGGGACACTCTTTTACTTTTTCTACTCATAAAATCAAGAAATCACGTTAATTTTAATTTAAAATTTTTTTTTTTTTAATTTTAAACAAATTTTTACAGATTGCTACCCGGGTTAAAAAAATTTAATTATTTTTAAACAGCAAAAATTTGACAAAATTTTTACTTAAAAACTGATAAAATTGACAAATTATTAAAACCAAGACATAAATTCATAAACTGGCTGAGTTATAGTTGGTCCAAATAAAAATTTTTTCTTGTGATGTTAAATTTTTTTCAAGCCTTGGCAGACACTTCTATTTTTTTTTAATTTTGAAATTTTTTTGGATATCTTTATTTTGCACGCAGAACTAAATAAAGATGTGTCCCTGATGTTTATTGATATTTTATGGACCAAACTAATGTATGTACATTAAAAAAAATCTTCTAGTTTTGTGGATGAAATACAAGTTTAAAGATATGTATATCCATTTCTTACGACTACAAATTTGTTCCTTTCCTGCGCTGGTTTTCCACCTTTTTTATTAAACCTCCTCTGTACGTGGGTTGTTTTTTCTTTTTATTTCATTCATTTTTTTTAGTTTCTCTTCGAGTTCAAAGTTCACACTGCCACCATTAACCAGCCTGCCACCTGCCACTGACTTGGTTACGATTTAAATCTCTTTGCTGTCAACACGAAGGCGCGAGTGTGAAATTTAAAACGTGATAACACCATTGTTCCGCAGGGTGGGCGCAGGCGTCTGCCGCACACTTGGCAACAAACAGTAGCATACATACAAACATACACTTGTAGGTGGTAGGTGGTAGGTGGTAGCTGGTTGCTTCTTTTGTTGTGGCGCTTCGAACACGTGTTCACTACCACTTTTTTGACACGCCGCACACTTTTTTATTTGAATTAATTTTTCTTCTTTAAAACTTGTAAACCGTAGAATAGAAGTGAAAGCGTTGTGTGTGTGTGTGCGGGTGTGGGTGTTTTGCGCTCGTAAATTCTTTATCAATGTTTGTTTTTGGTTGTTGTCGAGTCAATGTTTTTTCTTCCGTTTGTTGCCGTTGCCGTTGCCGTTGCCGCTGCTGCTTTGGCGACAAAATTGATTTGTTCAATTTTTCCAACGATTAAACTCGCTGAAATTCAGATTAGTAACGGTACATTTACTTTGAAGGTTGCGGAGTAATTCGATGATGCGTCCATTGCCGCGTCGTGCCGAGGCGATATGATATTTTTTGGTACTCGGATGTCAGTCAAATCGTCCGACTGGCAGACTGTTCTATACTTATTGGCACTGCCGTTGTTATTGTTGTAAGGAAGCTGGGTAATTTCGGCATTTTTGCACGTCTACTCGCTGTCTTCCTGATTTTCATGGCATGCGAAAGTGTGAAAGAATGGAGCTGGACGGGCAGGGCGTTTGTGTTTATTTGAAAAGTTTACGTTTAGTTTTCCTTCCTGCGTGTTTATTTGCTCCGAAACATTTTTATCTGCATTTTTTATTGTTGCCACTCTTGCACTGTGGAATTTAATCAATTTTGGCCTTTTATTGATTGGCACTTTGGCTTTCGTAGTTTTTTTTTTTGCTTACATATTTTTCTTCGAATTTAATTTTAATCGATATTTAACTAAACTTATCTTTAATTTTGAAAATGTTTCTTTCTCTTTGCAGGACGAAGTAAGTAAACCTTTGATTGGAGTTAACACTTAATAAATTGCCATAAACTTTAAGTTGTCGCCTCTGTAGCAGGTAAGTGTTTTGAATTTTAAAATTAAAGGTATAACATCGTGCAACAAAAACAAAAAAAACAAATTCCAAACACACGAAAGAATCGATATACGCACGAAACTATGGGCCAAATATAGTAAAACTGCGTTTTTAGTTTTTCACTATGATGTCAGGATTTTTTCCAATGACCTTTGAAATTTTAGGAAGATATGATTAATTAAAAAAATTCTTTTAAAAATCAGTGCAATGTAGAATATGAGTACCAAATTAGAGAGACAATTTTATAGAAATTAAAAACAATTAAGTTTTTTGGTTTACAAGGACGAATAGGTATTGAAAATGCGTTTTTAATAAATTTTTATCTTTTTAAGTTAGTAAAGTTTGCAGGACGAAATTCGATGATCATGCGTGTATTAGTCCTCAAACAACAATTTTCTAAAAAAAAAATATTGCAAATTTTCAAGGATATTTAGGTGAGTACAAAACAGAAAGTAGACTGGAGGGGTGACGAGAAATACTTTTACAAAAATAGATCCCCTAAGCGGCGTTGGAGTCGTGGAATTCAGAAAATCCTTACTTCCCATTTGTATGAGAAAAAAATAATTTTACGAAAAATGGGTCCGTTAGATGGCGCTATAGTCGAGTTGTTCAGAAAATCCTTATTTATGGCCCGATTTTGATGAGATTCGAAATACTTTCACAAAAAATGGGTCCGCTAGATGGCGCTGGCGTCAAAGAAATCAGATTTAGTGGAAATTAAAGACGTATACTGCATACGTTGTTATACTTCTATATATTGACATTGTTCTTAACTCTAGAGCACTAACTGCATTTCCAGTATATGTAAAGTATTAAGCTATGCTGACGGAATCGTGGGTATCAGCTCGCTTATATAAAAAAGTGATTGGGTTGCTGGTCCAAAAATGCATGTGAAAAATTTAAATCGGTTTGGCGGACCTACTATCAGTTGAGATATTCATAAAATTCCAACTTTACTTTTTTTCTGGACCACCCTAATGTGCATACCTACTTAAAGGAAGTATATTTATAAATGTAAGATATTCTTAAACAAAACGTAAACATTTTGGGTCATTTAGCATATTTCTAACTCGACGTTAATGGCAATATTAAGTCGAAGACGAAGATTTATTAAGTAGTTTTGTGGCAACCGCAAATATTTCTTAATTTCACTAAAATATTTTCTTAAGCGACGCTCCACTAATAATGCCGAAGCACGTCAAGACGTTGGCGTCGCGCGGTTTTGCAGGCCGCTCGCAATGGGCAAAGTGGGTAGATGGTGGGTAGGAAGGTACATGCCACTGACTGGCGGACGAGGTAGCATTTTCTTGGAAAATTTACATATGTTTTCACTCACTCACAAAGTTCACAAGCGTTATTGCACATTACATACATACATATCTTAAGCATGCTACATTTACATTTGCTTGGCCGCCAGTTGAAAAGTCGCAAC